TTGTAATGGCTCTTCTCTAATAACGCTAGATCTTAGTGACAACCAGCTAAGTGGTAACATCCCAGATTGCATCAATATGCTTAGTGAGTTGAGTTATCTTATATTGAAGAACAATAACTTTGAAGGTGAGATACCATTTCAACTATGCAAGTTGCAGAAATTGAGCTTGATTGATCTATCCCAGAACCATCTTTCAGGCCATATACCCTCTTGCCTAAATCTTACTACTAATGAGCCATATAATGAGGATAATCGTCTTGTTTTTCCTCTTTCTCTACCTCACTTTCAACTTCTTTTAAAGGATACATTTTCTGTTGGTGAACCAGTGCATTTCACAACAAAGAATATGGCATATTCTTACAAGGGAAGACTTCTCAACTACATGTCTGGAATAGACCTTTCGTGCAACAAATTGATTGGTGAGATTCCTTATGAAATAGGGCATCTTAGTGAGATTCTTGTCCTAAACCTGTCTCATAATTTCTTGGTTGGTGGAATCCCATCTACATTTTCTAACCTTAAGCAAATTGAGAGCTTGGATCTTTCCTACAACAATTTGAGTGGGAAAATTCCTCCCGAGCTTGTTGAGTTATATTTCTTATCTACCTTTAGCGTGGCATACAACAACTTATCAGGTAAGATACCAGCAAGGATCCAACAATTTGCAACATTTGATGGAAGTTGTTACCAAGGTAATCCTCTGCTTTGTGGAGAACCAATGAAAAGTTGCTCAACAACAAGTCCACCACCAATGATCCAGGAAGGTCCAACCCAGGGCAGAGAAGATGATGGTTTCATCGACATTGGTGTCTTCAATGTGAGTTTAATTGTGTCTTACATAATGGTGCTCATAACCATTGCTGCAGTTCTTTACATAAATCCTTATTGGAGACGGGTGTGGTTTTATTACACAGAGATGTGCTTCATTTCTACCTACTATTTTATAGTCGATCATCTATCCAAGTCACGAAGCAATGCATGAAGGAATGTAGCCATTTTATAGTTGTCATTTCTAAATTGCTCTTCTTATTGTTTCCTGTTTGGAATTGCAATGAAAAGTCTTACATGTAAGCTCTTTCAAGTAAATTAGCAAGCAGAGTTTGGAACCTAATTTGACAAAAGTTATGTTTTGAGAGAGTAATGACTAAAGTAATAACTATTAGTTATTTGTTATTATGCAATTCAAATTCAAAATAATGAAATATTTAATTCGTTAATTAGAGTAATAAAAAGAACTAGATTAGAGCGATGATTCTTGGTTATTAGTTGGTCAAAACATAACAATAAAACAAAATTGAAAGTTTACTTGATAACTTAGGGATACAGTTCTTATGATTTTATTAAGAAGAGAAAAACAAAGTTAGTGTTTGGTTGGTAGTGCTCCAAAATTTTTTTTAAGAACCTATCTAGAACTTTATATTTTAAATAATATTCTTAAAAATTAATTATTTGATTGAAAGTTCAATTAATATAAATTATGAATATCAATTTTTTATATTAATCTAACACTTCTAATATTTTGATAAAAGAAAACTTTATTTACTGACATATATCTAATAATGTTCAATTTTATATAATAACAAAATAGTTAAACCTACTAAAATAATTTAAAATTTGACATATAAATTATACAAATAAAATTTTTAATTTAACATTTGAATTTTCAAAAAATTAATTAAAATAGAAAATTTTAAATAAATTCTCTAGAAAAAAACAATATGCAAAACACTTAAAAAAAACCTCTGTTGATAACAAGATTTCCATTTACCTCCATTTTATTTAATTACACGGCGTTGTTTTCTATCATCCCTCTTCAGCCAAGGAAACGAAATCATCCATCCGGCAAACAAAACCCATTTCGTTTCTCATGGCAA